AGAAGAAGAAGAAGAAGAAGAAGAAGAAGAAGAAGAAGAAGAAGAAGGAGGAGAAGAAGAAGGAGAAGAGGAGGAGGAGGAAGAGGAGGAGGAGGAAGAAGGAGAAGAGCCTTCTACCACTGGGGCCTGGAGGATGTAAAATTGATATCAACATATTTAGTTATAACTCTGGATAGAATCAAAATTATCTAACTTAATTCTGACCCTTGTCTATTTACAGAATGATATAAATGGTTTGTCTTTAAGGAAAAATAAAATGTTCTTTTAATACATAGAAGATTATGGTTCAAATAAAATGGAAATAAAGTAGAATATCATAACACCCTAGGGGCCAAGAAATTGTTTAATCTTCTAACAGAGTTTAATGGAATTAAACAATACAGGAACCTGTTTACTTACTGGACTCTAGCAATTACAATAATATTATAATAATATTCACAGTTAAGTTTTATTAAGCACTTTTCTTTTGAGGCAATTACAATAATATTCACAGTTAATTCTTATTAAGCACTTTTCTTTCAAGGTAAGACAATGATTTACATATATTATCCACTAATATTTTTTCTATTTTACATATAAGTAAAATGAGTCTCAGGAAAGTTAAAATACTTGCATAATATCAAATAGCTATTAAATGATCGAATAGAAGTTACAATGGCATGAGATTGCCTCTACTGGAGAAAAATATTAAAGTGACATAGAATTAACAATACAAGAAACAACAGGTGTTGGCAAGGATGTGGATAAAGGAGAAGCCTCTAAAGCTGTTGGTGAGAATGCAAACTGGTGCAGCTACTCCAGAAATTAGTATGGAAGTTCCTTAAAAAGTTGAGAATAGGGGTGCCTGGGTGGGTTAGCTGGTTAAGCATCCAGCTCTTGATTTTGGCTCAGGTCATGATCTCGAGGTTCATGTGATGGAGCCCTACATTGGGCTCCATGCTGCCCATGAGAAGCCTGCTTGGGATTCTCTTTCTGTCCCTCACCTGCTCACATGCTGTCAATCTCTCTCTCTATATCTCTCTCTCTCTCTCAAAATAAAGAAATAAACATTTAAAAAAATTAGGGGCACCTGGGTGGCTCAGTTAAGCATCCGACTTCGGCTCAGGTCATGATCTAGCAGTCTCTGAGTTGAAGCCCCACATCAGACTCTGTGCTGACAACTCAGAGCCTGGAGCCTGTTTTGGATTCTGTGTAGCCCCCTCTCTCTGCCCCTCCCCCACTCGTGCTCTATCTCGCTCTGTCTCTCAAAAATAAATAAATGCCAAAAAACTTTTTTTTAATTTTTTAAAAAAGTTAAAAATAGAACTACCTTACAATTCAGCAACTGTACTACTAGGTATTTACTCAAAGAAAAAAAATACAAATTCAAATGGTAACATACACTCTGATATTTATAGCAGCATTATCTACAATAGACAACTTATGGAAAGAGCCCACATGTCCATCAACTGGTGAATGGATAAAGATGCTGTGTATATTCAATGGAATGTTACTTAGCCGTAAGAAAAAAGAATGAAATCTTGCCATTTGCAACAACATGGATAGAGCTGGAGAGTATTATGCTACATGAAATAAGTCAGAAAAAGACAAATACCGTATGATTTCACTCGTATGTGGAACTTAAGAAACAAAACAAACCATGATGGGGGGGGGGGAAGACAGGCAAACCAAGAAACAAACTCTTAATCAGAGAGAATGGAACTGATGGTTAACCAGAGGGGAGGTAGGTTGGGGGATGGGTGAAATAGGTGATGGGGATTAAGGAGTGCACTTGTGATGAGCACCAGGTGATATATGGAAGCGTTGAATTACTATATTGTACACCTGAAACTAATATTATACTATATGTTAACTAACTGGAGTTTAAATAAAAACTTAAAAGAAAGAATATAGCATACAGAGCTCAGTTTAACTAGTATATGCAGATAGAATGAGAGTCTTAAGCAGTAATCTAGATACTTGATTTATAAGGTAAATAAGCAGTCAGAAGTGTTTTTGTTTTTGTTTTTCCAAATTATTAGATGGAAAACTCATGTGGTATGCAGAGTTGTGATGCCTCAAGATGTTCCATTCTAATCCCTGGAATCTGTGAATATGTTACTTGCATGGCACAAGGGATTTTGCAAATGTGATTAAATTTCGAATTTTGAGATAGTGGAGTGATCCTGGCATAGGTCCAATGTAATCACAAGGGTCTTTCTGAAAGTGGTCATTTTTTTAAGGGTCAGAGGCAGGAGAAATGTGAAGATGCCACACTGTCTCAGCAAAGATAGAAGACGAGGGCCACAAGTAAGGAAGATGAGTAGTCTCTGGAATCTGGAAAAGGCAAGGAAGTAGATACCTCCTGTGGATCTCCAGAAAGGAATTTAAACCTGCAGGCACATTGATATTAGCTCAATGGAGACAATTTTAGACATCTGAGCTCCAGAATTGTAAGATAATAAAATTCTACTGTTTTAAACCATGAAGTTTCTGGTAATTTATTATAATAGCAGTAGAGAACTAACAGAACCAGTATCTGTAAAGATTAAGATATAAAAGAATATTGAGCATTTGCTGAAGTAACTATTAAGGAAAAATGCTAATTACCAATAATTATAGTTATAATTTGTTGAGCATATACTATGTACAAATCACTTATGGTCATATCAATTCATTGATGAGGGCACCAGAAATAACTCCATTTGACAGAAGATGTAAGAGGTTCAAGAGCTTAAATATATGTCCAAGTGACAGAGAGTGGATGAAATATCAGTGAGAAAGATATGAGATGATGAGAGGAGAAACTCAGAACTAAGTGAAAGTACATCTGTCATCAATAAAAATGACCTTTAGTTATTGCTATAGTAGTCACCTCGGGCTACCTGAATAGTCAAAATTCTGTGGATCAGAGTTGGTAAAAAATATGTACTAAATGTTCTGTTCTCAACTTGTCTATGTGTAATACATAATAAATTACCTTAGAATATAAATACAAAGTCAAAAATTTAAACCAATTAAGAATGTTTAATTAAACTCATTGAAGTTTATGGGAAAATGCTATCCTTTGTAGCATTTCAAAATTTATGTTGCCTTTGAACTTAAATACTTATTATTCTTAACTTACATTTCTTATATCACAGCAGAATTTTTATCTGGGTCAGCATGAAGGCAATAATTTGATATTAGGGAGGGTTTCATTTTTTTAAGAGTGGGGATGGAAATAGTTCTATAGCTTTGAACTATGATAGGGTACAGATTGATGACTTTCAAAAAGTAATGGGGAGAGAACTGGGTGTTGTATGTAAGTGCTGAATCACTAAATCGTGCACTTGAAACGAAAATTACACGGATAACTAACTGGAATTTAAATAAAAACTTTAAAAAAAATCCCTAATGAGTAGAGTTATTTCCTAACAAAATTCAAAGAAATAAAAACTCGAATTGTAATCAATAAATCATTTTATTCACACGCGTTTAAGATTCAGTCTAGAAATATTACAAAATAGTCACAGAAGGATGTAGTGTAGAAGGCTTAATTATTTCTTGGTGGACTACTAATAAGAGAAATTAAGGGGTTTGAATCCCCACAGTGAAATAACTGGTACCATGGTTAGTAGATAGAATGGCTGCAGCATACATACATTAGAGGGGAAGAAGGCTTAAGATGAATTACCGAGCTTTCATAACCACAAACGCAAGCTCTAATGACAATCATAACAGGAAGAAAAGAAGATGCATGAAAGAAAAGAACACTGTGAAATGTATTTCATATGTGAAAGAAAAGCTATCCTCTATATAATTTTGAACTTGAGGGTGGGAGTAATGAATGTGAGATTGGAGGGAAAATTAGAAATTGAAGATCATGATATCAACGTGTGATTTTATGCGATTGGGAGAATTGTGTTAACAATAAAAAATAGGAAAGCCATCAATCATTTCAATATTGTCAAATTCACTGGATTCCAGCCTGACCCTTTAACTTGATTCTGACACAGCCTTGCTCATCTTCTTGAAATATTTTCCTACCTCAGTTTATATTTTGAGTTATATTTATTTCTCTGTAAAGTGTTGTTATTTGATTTTTGTTTAAATTTTGACTTTGGACAGATTACATAAAATATATGTATATATTTATGTATATATTTATGTATATATTTTATGTACATAAAATATATGTATGTATACATATATACACACACACACACACACATATATATATACACACACACACATTATGTTTAATACATATATTAGGAAAATATAAGCATATACAACAACTGACAACAGTGCACTGGACATCTGTGTATCCAACACCCAGCTTCTACGATCATTAATTACAGCCAATCTTATCTCATTACATCCCCAACATTGCTTGCCCATGTTATTTAAGTAAATCCCATATGGCATGTATTGGATAGTATTTCATCAATATGTTTCTCTAAAAGATAAATGCTCTTTAAAAATAAAATGATAAAGCAATTGGGACACCTATAAAATTAGTAATATTTAAGATTAGTATCTCCAGTCAGTATTCAAATTTTCAATTGTCTTACAAATGAACTTTAAAAATTTACAAATATTGGCTTAAAGCTGGATCCAGATAAGATTCACAGTTTGTAATTGATTACTGTTTCTATTGTTCTTTTGATGTATAGTCTTCCTTCTCTCTGTCTCTCTCTCACCATTCCAACCCTGGCAATTAATTTGGAGAAGTAATTGGGAATCTGCACTTAGAGTTTCCCACAGCCTGGATGCTGGATATTGTTGACAGCATTCTATCACCTGTATTTCCTATAAATGAGTGCTTGAATCTAGAGAAATGACCAAACTCAGATGAACTATTTGACAGAACTACTTTCAATGTTTGGACTACCTCATTCTGGGCTCTTTATTGATGTCTTTTCTTTCTTCCACAATATTGGTGTCCCATGAACCTCCATTTCACTTACTTCCCATCAGTGTGAAATAAAGTCTGTGGTCAATCTTGCCCAAAACATAGATGTATTAACACTAGCATCCATATGCTGACAACTCCAAAATTTCTATTATTATCCCAGATCACTGCCTTGAATAAGAGACCTGAACATCTAAGTGTCTAACAGATAATACTTTGTAGTCACAGAGGTATCTCAAAATTACCATGTCCACAACTAAGCAATTTGTATTTTCCTATAAATGTGCTTCTTATATCACTCATTTTAACATGAATTTCATATATTAAGAATATGGTCCTTAGGACTAGACATATCCTTATGTATATACATTCTTTCAGTTACTTTATAAATAAACTTCATCAATCAATTAATTAATTAATGTAAAGAATAAAACTGGTGTGCTTATAACTGAAAATACTTGAGTATTTACCATTAGATGCTCTTCTAGGTGCTTTATTTACATGTATTTTCTCAACTAAGTCTTATGTCAATTTTACAAAGTACATAAAATTATTTTAGTCTTAAAGATAAGGTAACTTAGACACAGAGAGGGATATTAAAATGTCCAGGCAGTCTGTTTTCAGGATCTATACTCTTGGCATACATCTCAGCATATGTCTTAAAATATTTTTAAGACATGAATAAATAGCATGGGTAAAAAAGTTAAAATAGTGTCTGACACAAAGTAATTACATGTTGATTTATATTAATATTTTTATTATTAAATTTAAAGGCCTTGGTAAAGCATATATGATCTTTTATGATCTGGCCCTTTAATTACTTCTCCATCTCCTCTTTATCTGCATTGGTCCTGCTCTGCTGTATTGTAATTTCTCCATGATAACTTGTGGTTTTTGTTTTAGTACTCTATAACACCACTATGATCACTCTTGTCATCTTGAAAATGTGATATGTCCTATATATCCTTTAACATGCAATTCACGTGCTCCTCTTTAGGAAAGGCAAGGCTCAAGATTGAATTTAGTATTCCTTCTTGATGTTTTTGTTTATAATTCTATCAAAGGAACCTCAAAGCCAAACTTCCTGGAATAATTTATTCTGTCTTCAGATTTCCCCATCTATTTACTTCATAGCTTGTCACATTCTGATTCCATACTACCAGTGCTCTTTAGAAGCTTTCCTCATGATCACACATAATGCTCTATTTGTTAAAGCTAATGGAAACCCTTCTTAATAATAAAATTAAAGGTGGATGATAGATTAAATAGATACATAATAGATAGAAAGATAGATAGATAGATAGAGACAGAGAGATGAAAGATATATTTGCTCTTTCTGATAGTTTTCTCCTCCCTTACTTTCCCTAACATGACTCCTCAGGTTTTCCATATTACTCCGTATTAGTTTATTTTTAGCTCCTTTACAATCTGCACTCTCTCCACATGAAAATGTTGATAATCCCCAGAATTGTGCCTTCAGCCCTTCTCTATTCATGTTCTACATATCCTCCATCATTGTGTCTTATTTTTTTTTAACCATTTAATTTTAACATTATAGCATATCAGGGAGGTAAAATTGTCTCCTGACAATTTTGAAACTCAGGATTGAAGCCTTAAAATTAGATTAGATATTTAGATTAAAAAACTCATGTATCAGAATTGACAGTTGAAATAATAGAAATAGATGGGAAGAAATTAAAGAGATGGACTTTTTTTTTAAGTACAGAACAAGAGATAGACATATCTACACAAAACAGTAAGCATAGCCCGAATATGTCCAGACATGTCCCCATTTGAGAGATCTGAAGCAGAATAAATGACAAGGATAAAGACATAGAAGAAATAGCTAGAAAATCAGGAGAAAACACTATCATCATGATATCACAAGT